TCAACACTTCACAAAGCACCGTAAAGAAAAACACTTCGTTTCGTGGAAACAACTTACGCGACCTCTAGGTCCTAATTGCTCTAGCACAAATTATAAAACTACCTAACATCCAAACAAGAATGTAAGTTTTAATTGCGAATATCCGCAAACGAACCAAAGTGTTCCTGCAAAGCAGGGTTAAGACAAAACCCCCGCAACCCCGCGAAACATCTTCGAGCCCGCAAACGTTTTAAACACGAAACGCGGCACACAAAATAAAAACCAACTTTCGGCACTGCGAGACGTCGCAGACACCCGGAGAATAGTTTTTTTATACAAATACATTCCTCGATAAATTCATTTTCTTGGAAGACCTAACATTTCATCCGCGACTATAAAAATACGCAAAAATTCTTAACGTACGTATCCTTCGCGAAGGCCCAAACAACGTAAACATCTATCACTTAAAAATAGTTTGTTGCTGATCACAACAAACTCGCAACAGTCCTAGCGAGCTGGGGGGCTAACTGTTGGTGTCAAACACCCGACACAAGGTCTTGCCCTAAACGTAGCCCATTGGTCTATAACGTCTCAAGGCATGAATCGAGATCCTAAAGGCATGTTTCTTCGTCTATATCTAAATGCTAACTCGATTTGCTAAACATCCTAAAACGAGCAAACGAATAAGGCGATCCACAAAGGGAAAGGAATGCGAGATGACAACTCGTGGACCTCCCTCAATATCAACTCATATTCTTCCCTCTACATTCATACGAATTAAAACACGCTCTTAAAAACGAAAACTGATTTTTAATAAATCCGCAAAAGCGGCAGGGACACAGAGCCACACACGGCCAGTCCGAAAACTGTAACAGCCACGTTCGGCCAGACCAAACGGCCTACGATGTTAGTCTCAAGGCCGGCAAAGGCCCAATACACATAACCAGACCGTAAAGGTCTTGCTAGGAAACAGGTCATACAAACCTTAACTCCAAAACGAACTACGAAAGGCGTGATCCCTTCAATAGGGTACGTAAGCAGTCTTCACAAGGCGCAGCACTAATCTTAAATGCTTTCCGCTTCCTGGGGAATGGAAAGATCGCTCTCAACAGACCTTTCCAACCATTAATTCCACCTAACTTAACTAATACTGGCTAACCACTCGCAAGAACCTTACGCTAGAAGCTCAAGATTCTAGCGAGCTGGGGGCTAACTGTTGGTGTCAAAATCGGTCACGACGGAATCAATGGCTAAGAGTTTCCGTAAAAATAAAAATACGTTTTATAAGACTCAAGAAGTTGTTTTATAAAACTCGATAAGTCGTTTTATAAAACTCAATAAGTCGTTTTATAAAACTCGAGAAGTCCTTTTATAAAACTCGCTAAGTCGAGAAATCGTTTTATAAAACTCGAGAAATCGTTTAATAAAACTCGAGAAATCGTTTTATAAAACTCGGGAAATCATTTTATAAAACTCGAGAAATCATTTTATAAATTCAAAAGAGATTTCCGAACAAAGGAAATCCGCGGAAAACTCGGAAGATCGTTATCTCGTAAGAACAAAACACACGTCGATTACACGATCGCCCAAGTTAAGCACAAAACCGCGAAAAACCGAAACCGCCGTAATACTCTAGCTAGTCCCGTCACGACTAGCTCACCGAACGGCGAGCTAGAAGCTTCCCGGGCAGCTCGCCGTACGTCGAACCGACCATCCCGAGCCTCGTTCTCCCACATCCCCGATTCAAGGCTTACGTCCTTCGACACGATCATGTTCCGAACCACGGTCGAAATGTCTCCCGTTTCGTCTCTATCCGTCCTATCGTTCGAGTTTTACGATAAAAACTGTAAAACTTTGTTTTCTCGAAAAGAACTCGAGGAAAACGTATAAAACGGTAACGGTTAAACGAAACACCAAACATTGTCTAAACGGTTTATTCTAGAATTTTTGTAAAAATCGTAAAAAACGAGTTTTTAATAAAAAACGTCGAGTGAATCTTAAAAACGGCAACAATTAACCGAAAAACGAACATAGCTAAACTTTACGATTAACTCGGAGAACTTACTAAAAACGGCATCGGATCAGGAAACGACCTCGTCTAAAAGTCATGAAACGGTTTTGTCGCAAAACGGTTCGAAAGTTCCTAAAACGCGATAAAAGCCTATCTCGCGACTTTAACGAAGTCTAACCCAAAGATGCGATGACGTTTTGACGATTTACTCACAGAAAGAAGATAAATGTCAAACTTGGAGATAAATGTCAAGTTTGAGGATAAATAGAAGATTTCCGCGGGAAAAAAAGAAAGATAAAGATAAATGGAAGATTCCCGATAAGCTCGAATCTTGGCAAAATCGAAAGACTAAACCGCCTAGGAAGGGAGTATATAAGCAAGAGGCATAGGGCAGAAGAAAATGACGAATTTCAGAGCTCTCATCTGAGACTTTTACAACTTTTCTAGACTTAGAATTTTCCGCACTTAGAAACCTAGGCTTTATTCTCAACAAGTTCGGTTTCTATGACTGGCGCTCAATTACTAGACGAACTCGCCCAGGCAGTTCGATCTCTGGTCCAGCTCTATCAACTGAACTACGTTCGAATTGATCCTCGAAAGGGGTACGTAGGCAGCCTTTCATAAGGTTTAGTCCGAAATCAATTAAACCTTTTTTCTTATCTTTTTCCGTCTTTCGTTACTGAGCTGCGATTCGACTAGATTTAGGGTTTTATGTTTGTAACTCGCTGATGGCCCTTGCGCCAAAGCCTTTGTGATTCTTTGTAATGATCGCAACGCTCTTACGCGAATCGGAAATAAGATCGACTTTCTCTATAAATTTGTTTTATTACGTTTTTCATATTTTTCGCATTTATTTGGTTACTTGTCGTTGGCTTTCGCAGAGATCCGGTTCCTCTGAAAAATTAGGGTTTTCCTAAGTTTCCTTATTTAACGGAAATCGACAAGGGTAAATTTCGGTTCCCACAATCTTAATCCTGATTGCCCACACAGTATAGTTTTGCCGTTAGCATGGGACAGCTAATCGAGGATGATGAACCTTCTTTTGGTTTGTTAACGATGGTTATTAAATCTCCCATAGTTGTTGTTGGTTCTCTTTTGTTTGGCTCTGATACCAAATATTGTTGTGATCACAAGATAAAGAGATCAATGTTTATAACAAAACTCTTCTTATTAACTTAAGAAAATAACTCAAAAATTAGGCTCTCACAAATCAATCTATAAACTCACAACTTATGCAACATGTTTGCATCTTCTTATATAGAGATATGATACTCCTTTTCTCAATAAGCTCAATTTATCTATATAACTCTTAGATAAGATAACTTTGCTATTTCAAATAAGTTTAGGTTAGCTTGGGAGTTAAGCTATCTTTAAGATTATTCTCAACAGCACATTTAGAATGAACGACATATCCAAGATAACTTATGCAACATGTTTGCATCTTCTTATATAGAGATATGATACTCCTTTTCTCAATAAGCTCAATTTATCTATATAACTCTTAGATAAGATAACTTTGCTATTTCACATAAGTTTAGGTTAGCTTGGGAGTTAAGCTATCTTTAAGATTATTCTCAACAGCACATTTAGAATGAACGACATATCCAAGACACCTCCCACAAGAAAACCCCCATCTGTTCAATCAACCTTCTTGCGACAAACTCCGCACACAGAATTCACAACACCAAGAATCAAAGTACGAGAAACACGATGTTCATGATGCTTGATGTTAATGACAGGTGGAAGGACAAGACATTCTTGATGGATCATAAAACCACAATGAAAGCATGTGTAAGGGTTTTGATCTCCCTTGAGTCCACAAGCATTACATGTAAAAGAATCGAGTCTTGGAAGAAGGGTGGGTTGGTGATTGTAGATCCTAAAATCCACATTAAGTATTTTGTAGTGATCAAGAGTTTAATCTAGGGAAGACAAAAGATATGGAAAACGATGCACTTAGAACACAACGATACAATCGAAATTCGGTTGAAAAAAATGGACTTTATTGAATATATGGTTGGATACAAAGTGATAATTGAGATCGAGAATAACAAAGAGAGATCGAAACTATAAACGAACTAAAGGCTAAGAAGTGAGGTCGATGAGAGTAGTGATTAGTTCTAGGGTTTTTCGTATGTGTTATGCTCTGCTCTAGCTCCCTTTTTATAGTCTCATTTTCCTCTAACTACTTCCGCGATCTTCGGAACACTAATTCAACCTCGTCGTGCTCGATATGGGTTGAAATGATGATAATGACGTATGGGCCTGGACCTGCTTAACTTCTTACTGAAATTGGGTCCAAAAGTGATCATGAGCTTTCAGATCCACAATAGACTGTTTTGGTGGATTTAGAACACAATATATATCCAAGGTGAAGTTACACGACGAACAATGATAAAACAATTGGAGAAATTTCAAAAATATAAGGATTAAAATGAAAAGTAAATAATGTTTCAAAATTTGAGAATTTGTTAAAGCTAAAAAAACATAAAATTCAAGGGTTTGAAAATCTTTTGGAATTACTCTAAAGATACATATGTTCTATTTTATTATTAGTTAAATGATGGTTAGATAAATAATAAATGATATTTTAATTTACAAAATGTATAAACTAAATATTTTTCAAACAATGGGCATAATCATAAACGTCATGTATTAAAAATGGAGGAGTATTATTTTTAAGTTTGGATTATAACTTTGTGAAGTTAGTAGAGAAACATGTGTGGCTGAACAGTTTTTTTTTCACTTTCGTTTCACGCAACAGTGAATATATAAAATAATTGAAGTCTAAAGTACGTCGTGAGCAGCAAAAGAGTTTCTCGACCGTTGGATGAAGACCTTAACCATTCGTGATCTTACCCAACAAACCCACACCAATACAATATATGAATAAATAATCACTAAAGTATAAGGATGGAACCGTTTAACGAACTCCATACAAACCAAACCATTTCATGTGTTATGTTGCGTGTGTATAAGTTTACACGCACATGATCATCCTGATCTTAGAATGGGTAACGCAATCGGTCCCCGGAAGCTGGAAACGGCGGCGATGGCTGCCGGAAAAGTTGTATTGTCCGACGGAAGAGTACAAAACTTAGAGGAAGAGACGACGGTAGCTGAGATCATGCTGGAGAATCCTCAACACGTCGTTGTCGAGTTTGATCCTTCATCGATAACATTCAACAAAGATGGGAAGACGGTGAAGAAGAAGCTGACTCCTCTACCGGCAGACAACACACTCGAGCCGGGAAAAATCTACTTGGTCCTCCCGGCCAAAAGAAGCGGTAGCGGCGGCGTTAAACCACCATCATCATCATCGGCGGTGATGACGTCAGAGGAGATGCGTAAAATGCTGTTTAGTGCCACGGCGATGGTAAGATCATCGTTTAGCTACTACGATGGGATTCTTCCTTGGTTTACTTCTAAAAGTTATAATAATAAGCCGGCGGTTGATGCGGTGGTGGCTGCCACGTCGGTTGGAAAGTTGGAGGCTGTGACGGAGGAGGAAGGGAGGTCGGAGTTTTTGAGCAGGCAATTGTCGGGAAGAGGGTGGAGACCAAGCTTGGATCCTATCAAGGAGAAGAAAGCAAAGAAGAAAATCCATAAACTGTTGTCGTTTTAGTTACGGCGTCGTTTCAGTGTGTATCCCTTTTCCTTTGTATTTTGTTTCTGCATGTGGTATATATAGTCGTAAAGCGTTTCGTTACGTGCGTGTGTACATGTACGCCGGCCACGAGAAACTCATGAGTGAATCCTAAAACTATCTTACGCAGTTAAAAAAAGTTTATTATGTTGTTGTTCCTGCGATCAAAACCTTTTCAAGTTAAATTTATTTCTTAACATAAGAAAACTCTGAGAGGCAGTACAGTATATACTGTTACTGCCTCTGTTAAGAAATAAATTTAACTATATACTGTATATAGGTTTTTTTTTTTTTTTTTTTTTTTTTTTTTTTTTTTTTTTTTTTTTTTTTTTTTTTTTTTTTGACGTCAAACGGCTGTTCTATTACTCAAACGACTTGAGGTGGTCTGGGTAACCAGACCGGAACAGAACAACCAACATACAAAAGCTTACGATAAAAGGACCTAGCTAACTTAGCTAAAGAATCAGAAGCGCCATTTTGAAGTCTAGGGACATAAGAGATCTTGAAGTCTGGAAAACAGATCTTCAGCGTCATCAATTTTTCCACCTCTGTTGAGAAGCTAGGCCATGCCTGAGGATTCCTGAGCATTTCGATCAACTCCTTACAATCAGTTCCAAAGCTCTGGCATGGCGAATGTTGAAGCATGTTCTCCATTGCCCACCGCAGTGCTTCCAACTCTGAATGCAATGCCGATTCCACTCGATCAAAATTACGCACCCCCAGTAACTGGCTATTTCCAGAAGCATCATTCAAAACCCACCCACATCCACTGAAGGAGTCCGTTGAAGTCCAAGATCCATCCACCATGCAGATGTTCCCCAAGCTTAAGGCCTGGTCTTCACCTATTTCATCCCCAAGAGGAGGCGGTATTTCCTGCTCATTTGCTTGGAACCATGCTTGGCATTCACTCTCTGCGTAACGCGCCACTTCCAATGGATCCCTATCAATGCCTCGGAATAACTTATCATTCCTAGCCTTCCAAATGTACCAGATTAGCCAAGGATAAGGATCCCTATCCAATTCCGGCTCCATTATTGCATTCTTCCTCCAGAACAGATAATCCATATTCGCGTACGTGCTTTGAACCGGAAACATAGCTGGATTGGTGGGCGTGGATGATAGCGCCCAAACCTGTAACGCAGGTGGGCATTCGAATATTGCATGTGTGATCGTCTCCTCTGGCTCACCACATCGAGGACAGTGATTGTCACACCTCATATGCCTGTAATTTAAAATGCTTGTGACAGCTACATGTCCTGTAATCACCTGCCACATAAGATGGCACATCTTTTGGGGAGCCCTGACCTTCCATGCATGTGCTTGGAGCTTTGTGATACTAGACTCACATACTCCAGTTTCATCCTCCTTCCTCAGGATATTTCGTGCTACCCAGTATCCAGACTTAACAGTATACTGTCCAGTCCTTGAATAGCTCCAGCAGTACGTATCTCGTCGGTGTGTGGAACTAATAGCCATGCTCTTGATGAGTGGAATGTCATCCGCACTAATGTAATCCTGGAGTCGTCTTTCATCCCAAGTCTTCGTTGTTTGGTTAATTAAATCGCTTACACGCATATTCGGATGTAGAACCGGTGCCAGAGGGACTGCCGGTCTCGCAGGCATAGTAGGAATCCAAGGGTCCTCCCAAACTTTAACCTCATACCCCGAATGAATCTTATGTCTAATTCCTAACAGTAGCAATTCTCTTCCTGCCGATATGCTTGTCCACACATATGAGGGACTGCTAGTATTGATTTGACGCAAAGGCGTACTCAATCTATAATACCGACCTCTCAAGACGCGAGCAACCAAAGAGTCTGGGTTTTGTACCAGTCGCCATAATTGTTTTGCCAGTAGCGCCAGGTTAAACTCATGAATCATCCTAAAACCAATACCACCTTCATCTCTGGGTAAGCATAATTTGTCCCATGTTGACCAGTGAATACCCCTTTTTGGTGGGTTTGAGCTCCACCAGAATTGTGCAATGGCACTGGCTAGATTCTCACAAATCTCCAATGGGAGAAGGAAACAAGACATTACATACGTCGGAAGGGCAAGCAGGATTGATTTTATCATCACTTCTTTCCCGCCTTTAGAAAGCCATCTCCCAGTCCATCCATTCACTCTATTTCTCAGCTTGTCCTTAAGGAATGCAAAGAGTTTACATTTGGATCCACTTATATCCTCTGGTATACCCAGATATGACCCCATTCCTCCTTCATTTTGGATCCCAAGTGTGTCTTTGATCTCTTGTCTCACAACCTGTCCGATTCTTTTACCAAAGAGTAAAGAAGACTTCTCGAAATTTATGCATTGTCCTGAAGCTTGTCCATACATCGTGACCACCTTCATTACTTCTTCACATTCACGGGGCTCCGCCTTACAGAAAAACAGACTATCATCAGCAAAGAGAAGGTGAGATACAGAGGGACACGCACGCGTAATGCGCATCCCTGTTATCTTCCCTTGATTCTCTGCGTGATTAAGAAGGCTAACGAGCGCTTCCGTGCACAGAATAAAAATGAAAGGGGACAGAGGATCTCCTTGTCGTAGCCCTCTCTCCGGGACAATATTCCCTCTTGGATGTCCATTCATAAGGACCTTGTATTTGACTGAAGTCACACATCTCATTATCATAGTTATCCAAACCTCAGAAAAGCCCATCTTCCTCATGGTGGCCTCAATGAAGGACCATTCCATTCTATCGTAGGCCTTACTCATATCTGTTTTGATAGCCATCCTCTTGTTTCTGCCACTCGGTTTTGTTCTTAGGGCGTGGAACAACTCTTGAGCTATCATAATATTATCAGATATCTGTCTCCCAGCAACAAAGGCTGACTGGGTCTCTGAGATCCTGTCTGGGAGAAACTTCTTTAATCTCTGGCATAAGACCTTAGAGATAATCTTGTAGCTAACATTACATAAGCTAATAGGGCGTAACTGGCTCATCTGGTTTGGCTTCTCCACTTTTGGAATGAGACATATGTTAGTGTCATTTAGGCCAGAAGGCACCGTTCCCTCGAAAAGGAATTGATTAACCATAAGAGTTAGATCATCCTTTACAATATCCCAAAATTTCTGATAGAACAACGCCGTCATTCCATCCGGTCCTGGAGCTTTCTCTGGGTGCATCGCAAAAAGAGCTAGTTTAACCTCCCACTCAGTAACCGGGGATGTTAAGGTCGCGTTATCTGCTGAGGTAATCGTGGTAGATACCTCAGAGAGTGCTTCCTCTATTGCCTCAGGATTTGAGGATTGAAAGATGTGTCTAAAATAATTTGTAGCAATGGCTACCAATCCTTCCTCATCCTCCACAACATTTCCATCCTCATCCAGTAATTGGGTAATTCTATTCCTTGCTCTCCTTTGCTTTGTAAGGGCATGAAAAAATTTTGTATTCCTATCCCCCTCACGCAACCAGAAAATCCGACACTTCTGTTTCCAGAACATCTCCTCCGCCTTAAGGGCGTCAGATAGTTCCTTAATAGCTGCCGCAATTTCCTCAGTAGTGGCATCATCATTTGAGGATAAGCGATTGACCTTTTCCTTTAGCTCCTCGACCGTTTTCTCTGAATTCAGATTATGCTGTCTTTTCCATTCGCTTAATGCTCGCCTGCAGCTTGCAATGTGTTCCATTATACTTGCGTCTGGTGGGAGATCCGGTGACTTCCATCCCTCAAGAATTATTTGCCTGAGCTCCTCATTATCTAACCATCTCTTATCGAATTTGAAATTCCTTGCTCTCCTAGGTTTCTTCCTCAGTATATCAGCTAGTATCGGACGATGATCCGATCCCCAAAGTCTCATATACTTAACCTTTGAATGAGGGAATTTTTCATGCCAGTTTTCATTCCCAACAGCCCTATCAAGTCGGCATCTAACTGTCGTCCTCCCTGCTCTATTTCCAACCCAAGATAGCATGTTGCCTGTATAAGGAAACTCTAGCATACCACAATCACTTAGCATCTGTTTAAAGGGCAGAAATGAGCTATCAGAGCGTTGTCTGCCACCTTCCTTCTCTGCATGACATGTAATTTCATTAAAATCTCCTATCATGAACCAAGGTCCATTTCTTGTTGTTGAGAAGCGCGTAAGGCGCTCCCATACCAAATCACGTCTCTCTAACACAGGGTCCCCATAAACAAATGTCATGTAGACTTTTATTCCATCAATGACTGCCTCAATGTCAATCATTCGGTTATTTGAAAAAAGTACATTAACTTGAAATTCATCCATAAAAAACAAAGCTAAACCACCGCTGTGGCCAAGTGGCTCAACGGTAAACAAGCGATCAAATCCTAAGTCGGCCTGAATGTCTTGCAACAGCAGCCTCCTATTCTTCGTCTCAGAAAGAAACACAAGTCCTGGGCGATGCTTCTGACACATCTCCGTAAGGCGTCGAACTGTGAGGTTGTTTCCAATCCCTCGACAGTTCCAACTGAGTGTCCTCATGGATACCGTTTTGATGGGTTCTTGGATCCCATCAAACCATCAGAATCTTGATCATGATGTCTGCTCCTCCTTCCACGCCCTTGGCTGTCTTTCTTCTTGTCCTTCTTCTCAGCAACACGTGAACCAGAAGACGAACCATAGTTCCGTGGTGAGCCGCGACGAAAAACTCTGTTTTCTTAGATTTAATGCCCAATGGAGCATTAAAACGGTTCCTTTCACGTGAAGGATGTATGGTATCCCTACTGGCCATTCCTCTAGAGGATCCTAACTGCGCGCGAAGCTCCTTTCCTTGCCGCTCCTCCTCCTGCAAAGCTATAAGCTCTTCTCCCAATAAGTCATCACTCTGGTCACCATATTCCAAATCATCTTCATCCGGTTCCAAATTCTCTTCATCCAGCGTTGATTCCACATCGTTCAGTGCTCCAATCATCTGATCTCCCTCCAATCCATTAGCTTGCACTTGCAGAGATTTCGGAGAGAAAGTAAGGACACGTGTGATTCCTGTGGATCGCTTAGTGATATTAGATTCCATGGCCTGAAAAGTTCTTGTAGGAGACGCAATGACGATCCCCAAACTCCTCTTTGATTTATCACACAAGGCCCTTTCCTTGCTATTGTGCTGAATCTCAGCAGAATCCTGATGTTTGGGCTGTCGTTCATAAGGAACTATGTCATTGTGATTCTGAGTCTTTGCACATCGAATTTCACTGTCGTTGGAAACAGCATGTGGAGACACAATTGCACTTGCAATCCTCGTTAGGCGTCCATGAGCATGAGCCGTAGTTTCTTCCGGATGACCTAGCTCTGCCAAGCTAGGGACAACCATCTCTGTATCAGCTGGAGTTCTATCATAAGAATTTACTTCCGACTTCCCTTGTCGCTTGTCTCGTGTCCCAACCATCAATGTATGAGCTGTAGTTTGTTGCTGATCTCGTGCAACACCTCGCCTAGGAGAAACAGCTGACTTGGACCTTTTTTCTCGCCATTGAGTCTCAGTTTTACGTGCATAAGGGGACCTAGTAGAACGGGTAGATGGCCAGGCCTCTCTCCGTCGCATCACCCTATCTGGATAATGTTGAGTCCATCGACTTCCATTCCCACTCTTTATTGCTTGCTGCCTAGCAGATGCTCCATTCCCGTGTTGGCTTGAATTGCCCCGTGTAGAGAGCCGACTGTTTTCATCCTGTTGCGCAGACCTAGTAGATATCTTTGAAGGCTCAGAATGATCATGCGTCGCCTGAGTACGCACACCTCTGGGAAGCTGGACTCTTGAGAAGACATCCAATCTAGCAGCAGTACCACGAGAAGCCTCTATAGCCATAGTACATTGCTCTTTCTCATGAGATAAGAATCCACAAGTAGTGCAATGTTTAAACAAAAGATCGTAGGATATCTCAATAGTTACTTCTTCCCCACGTGGAGAAGATGCCATAGTTTTAAATTTCAGAGGTTTCCTTGTATCAACCTCAATCAGCATTCGTCCTTCTTCGAGCTCTAGAGTGTCAACTTTCCCAATGCGTCCACCTAAACCACGCAGATTCTTAACGGTCCAGAAGTGCAATGGCATTCCGGTTAGACGAACCCAAAAAGGGATTACCCAAGGGTAATCGTCATGAACAATGGGTTCCCATCTCACTAGGACAAACATACAATAATTGTAATGGAAAGGACCTTGACGAAGAACGGTATTGATGTCCTCCTCGTTCATAAAATTGAAGAGAAATTTTCCATTACCAAGATCATTGGCTGTTAATCTGTCTTGCAAACCCCATTGCTTAGGCATATACTGAATTAACTTCTCCACATTCTGTTTCTTTGGGTTTAGAACTTTGCCAATGAGAGACAGCCGAAACTCATCCATGACCTGAGAATCATCATCCACCTCAAGCTGAAAGGGTTCATCTTCTTCCAGTATAGCCTTTCCTTTAGTATCCACCATATGGGCATTCCGCAGAATTCCAGGAGGTCCCATTCAAACTGTCCTGGAAACGCACTCTGTTTTGTACTACCAAAAACAGAGTATGAATTTTAAAGGAAATTGGAATTTGAATCAAGGATTCCAAAAACACTTTCGACGCTGTAGAGATCGTGTCCAGTAAAAAATTAAGTCACAAGTGTACGAACGCTAAAGCAAAGGCTTCAGACGTATCAAGGCTTATCGATGTGGGAGAATAGTGATGATACTCTCGAAGTTGTAGATCTCAAAAGCCGAGTCCTTAATGATGATGTATACCACTGAAGCAAAGGCCTCAGTATGCACGGTAATCCACCACCACACCACCTTCGTCGATGGACGTAGTGAGCAGGGGGATATGAGATTTCAAAGGAAATATTCGATCCGCAGAGTCATCATCGATGGGGTTGATCTGTTAGTCCAGGATCGCAAATATCAAGGGATATAGGGATCGGAGGTAATCGTGTCAATGAGCTACGATTACTTGAATGATACGCCACCAATCTCAACTGTAGACAGCAGGGAGAAACACCGGATATACTGTAACCTATATATATATATATATATATATATATATATATATACTGTATATAGGTTACGTCACTTGTTCACATATCAATCATATTATACTGATATCTATTTGAATTAAACGCTTATACTTACAATGAACTTGATAACTTTCATTTGGAATTGTCTAATACTTCCACATTCTCGACATTTTTTCATTAATGATTGATGATTGTCAAGTGTTTACATTGGATGATACATCGCTGGAAGTCTTAGGTTTAGTTTCTTGTACATTCGTTTGTACAGGGAATCGTGTGCTAGTATTTGGGATACCTTCAAGCATCGTAGGACTTTGCAGCGGGAAGATTGATCCACTTTGATATAATATCTCCAAGAAGAGGTTTGTGTGAAACTCTTCTCTCTCATCTAGTTTCCAGACAACAAAAGAGGGAGGGACCGGTCGACTAGACAATAGCTAACATGTTTGTCTTGAGAATGTGTGCAAAGAGAACTATTAGGGGAATGTGTAAATTAGTATTACAATCTTATATAGTTTTGAGTAGCTTAGGGACTTCTAGCTAGTTTGGATTATCGATTCAACACTAATGTGAAAAATATGATTTTTTTCAAGAAGAGCTGAAAGCATTATGACCAGCAATAATAGTCTTGGTAAGGAAAAAAGTCTCCACGGATAATGAAGTCACATATTCCACAGCAATACAACAGCTCCAATCAATCTAAGAGACATGCTTCAATAGATTCTCAGATGGGCAACAATAAGTAGATATCTTCTTCTCAAGAAACAACGCTTTATTCAGAAGAACGAGTGAAAAAAAATAAGAGCAAGCACGAGAGCAAAAGTATGTCCCTGAGGTTCCAATCAACTTAAGGTAGATAGGGTACTTGCAACGAGACTTACACTGGCTGCAAAATGGGCAAGTAACACTATTATTGAGCACCACCTCAAACGATCTCCCCCACAACTCTGCTACACTACTTGGCATGAGCCTTGCAGATTCTCCGAGCACACACTCTTTATGCAAACTAGCCAAGTGATCTTTACACGTGTAAAACCATTCATTTGGATCTGTTTCCTTCTCACAAATGTCACACCAATATTTACCAGTTGCATCTTCTTCTCCATAGCATAGTGAGAGAGGATGATTGTAGACTATGTGTTTTACCACTTGTGGTAGAGTGGCGCATTTGAAGCACAATAAAAATCCACAATCACCTTCAATGCACCTGAGTACACATGTTCTCCAACCGCCGTTGCAACCATTGCATATTTCTTCTTTTTCTGTTGGAATGTAATATAAGGGATGGTGGGGATGACTTGGATGGAAAAATGGCTCAGAAACTGAACCGCAAAAGACATCAAAGAATGCATCAGCATGCTTGTACATGAAACCATTGGACGCTCGATAGCAAGCCTTACAAGTGAAGGTATCTACCTCCTTGTTTGTGACTAAAGTGAGACGTTCATTGTGTAGCACATGCCTTTTCTTTTTAGGACATTCAGCACACTTCTGATGGAGAGAAAAATCACAATCCTTACATCCATAAAAGGATTGGAGACCGCTGGGACGGGTGCATGCTCTGCATCGTTTGTTCTCCACATACAGGATACCATTCCCATGGATTCGTCTTAGGTGATGCTCTTTGTGACTGAAATGATGTATTGTCTTTCCATCTATTACCACATATGGTTCTATATCTTCTTCTTCTTCAGGTACTCCTTCGAGTTCTTTCCCATTTCATACATCAACTCTTGTAGCGCATCTAGAATGAACGACATATCCAGGACACCTCTGACAAGAGAATCCCCCATATTTCCAGTTCACTTGCTTGCGACAAACTCCGCACACAGAATTCATAGCACTGTCACCAAGAACCGAAGTACGAGAAACACGGTGATCATGGCGATTGATGTTAATGACATTTGGAAGACCAAGACAGTGTTGATGGATCATGAAACCACATGGAACACATATGTAAGGGCTTTGATCTCCCTTGAGGCCGCAAGCATTACAAATAAAAGTATCGTGTCTTGGAAGAAGGGTGAGTTGGTGATCATGAGCTTTCAAATCCATATAGACTATTGTGGCGGTTTCAAAACACAACGCATATCCAAAGTGAAATCACAAGAAGAACAATGATAAAACAATTCTTCATCAACATTCCTTTCGCAAAGACGACATTTACCATCAGAATAGTCTGGTGGTGGTCTACCCGTGAGGAGCTTAAGAGGATGCAAGGAGTGGTAAGAGTGGCTTATCTATGTTGGGTGCTGTGGAACTTCTGCCGGGTGCCATACACAACCGACATGGAAGGCTACATCACATTAATCACATTTGTAAGGAAGTCCACCATAACGCTTCCCGCATTTAGCAGAGCAGTCAAACCAGATCCGTTCCTTGACAAGTGTGAGCTTGTGGTGGTGCATCTTGAAATTATCAATTACCTCTGGCGGGTTGTGCTTGGCACAGTGTAGATCCAAGTCGAAGTCACACATGTCACAACGGTAGAATAGCTTCAAGATTCTCCTCCGTCACCACATTTCTTGTGCACGAAAAAATCACAGATTTTACAATAATAGCCATCACTCTCAGATTCAAAGCGTTGACAACAATCACCTTTCCTCAGATCATTCCAAGGGATCATAGGATGCTCGTGGATCAATGGTAACGACACTCCCTCAGATTCCATTTTCTCTCTCGTATACTCAGAAGACATAAGGTTGAATAGTTAAAAGCTCTCTTTCTCAAACCATGGTAGTGACACTCCTTCAGCTTCCATCTGGTCGTAAAGTCTGAGGAAGAAGAGTTGAATAATGTGTATCTCTTTCTCCGGCGGTTGATTGAGTGTCGAGAGCGTGAATGTTTCGTTAGGGTTGCAGATATCATAGGAGATTAATGGACTTCTTAATCTGAGTTGGCCCACAAAATATAATTTTTAGTAATAGAGTTGACCCATTTAATGAGAGGAGAGCATATATATGTGTTCAAAGTAGTTAGATGATTTTGAGGGTTTTTTATGTGATTTTCAATATTTTTTTCGTTCATATCATAGACACATGGCAATCAACAAGATACTCAGGAACACAAGATGTAACAACAAAACTAAACATAAAATATCAAAAACAAAAGCATCAAAAACGTCTCTGACCCCGCGCTCGCGTTCTTAGAGATCACGTTAGAACCCCCTGGGAACCCCCGTAATCCAACCTGTCAAATTGATGCATCATGGATCGATCATGGCAGTGTTAGTGGCCTAGGGTAGAGTCTTAAGGATCACATGGGTTCTGAGTGGTTCGGACTACATACGTGTAGGAGGAGTAATTCTGCTCTGCATGCAGAGATGGAAGACTTGCTCTGGGCAGTCTCATGTTTGAGAGATCTGCGCTTAATCTCGGTACGAATTGAGACGGACTGATCGGACTTAGTAGACATGTCAACTAACCCGGAAGACTGGCCGGTTTTCACGACAGAGATCGAGATGCTCCACAAACTATATGAGGATTTCGAGGATGTGAGACTGTCTCATATTCCACGGAACAGGAATGGTAGATCGGATGTACAGGCAAAAGAAGCAAGGAGAAAAAGCTTTATTTTTTTCCATATAGATCAGATCAGGCCAAATGGAAGTGCTTTCCGGAAGATCGTTTCGTCTGTTCACCAGTTGATCTAGTTTACTATGGGCGGATGACAAAAAAAAAAGTAATGGAATGATCATTTATTCTCATACAACGCGTGAAGAATTCAGGCAATGCCAATGGAGTTGAATTAGTGTTTGTGTAACTAAAAAAATGTAAACGACCTTCGTAATGGAATGATCATTTGTATAAAAGTATAATTTCCGTTTAATGCATAAGCAAAACCCACTAGCAGTGATAGTTGACAATAGATACTCGTTTCCGCCGGGATGCTGGCTTCTTCTAAAACTGGAGTAGTAATCACTCTTCCACTGAAATACAATACGAGTACATGAAGCCATTTTCCCTAAGTGTAATATATAGTTGGATATATCATATATGTACCGTTTATTCAAAAATGAGAGATGTTCATGCAAGTCTTACATTATAAGTATACACAAAATATAATAAAATATTCAATTCTGATAAGTATGAAATTTTCTGGGAAATAATTTAACAACAAATTGAATTTGTTTCTTAGACACAAAATAGACAATAATAAATTACTTAGCAAAAAAAACAATAATATATTAATCAGACAATCAAATAGTCAGACACGAGGTCAAGAAACCCCAACAAAAAATACATTAGAAGATGGGGAAAATCGCATAAAAAATCCTTAAAGTATCACGTAGTGACACTTTAAACCTTGAAGTTTTTACACTATCACTTAAACCTTCAAAGTGACATTTGTATCATAAAAACCTTGAACTTGAAAAATTGACATGTTGAAGAGGTAAAACAGATAAAATTTTAGTTTTTTCCAAAAAATAAACATTTAATAAATAAAAATCAGAAAATTTAATAAATAAAATAAATAAATATAAAAATAAAGTAAATTTTCGAATTAAAGAAAATTTCAGAACATAAAGAAAATTAAAAAAAAATAATTGAAATACCAAAAATTAAATAAAATTCAGAAAACAAACCAAAAATTAAAGAAATTTCACAAAATTGAAAATATGGAAAGAAACGTTCACAAAAATAATTATTTAATCAATTAAAAACACACATAAATTAAAAATTGAATATAATACTTTCAAATATATCATTGTTGGCGTTGATAGTTTCAAATTGTTGACAATAAAATTTTCAAAATAATCAACGTCAACCGTGATATATTTGAAACTTTTATCGTCAACAATAATATGTCAGTTTTACTTGAAAATTGCATAAAAACTACTCCCATTGTTTTGTTTTAAATGACGTTTTGAACTATTCTTTTGTTCTAATATAAATGACGTTCTCAAAAATCAATGCAAATTATAATGATAAAAGACCATATGTACCCTGTATTTATTATACTTCACGATTTTTGCAACACAAAATAGTCAATTAATAAAGGGTAAAAAAGATATTGGATTGGGTGTCTTAATATTTGTGCAAATCTATATAACGTATAAAAGAGAACGGAGGGAGTACAAGATTTAAAAAAAAAAAAATCGAAATATCATTGTTGACAATAAAATTTTTAAACATATCACTATTGACGATGATGGCTTCAAACAGTTCCCTTGAAAAACATAATCTTATAATTTTAACAAATATTTTTAATTAAAAGTTTTGTGATATTTCTTTCTTTTATTTATAATTTCATGTATTTTATTTTTTCATATTTATAATTTTTGAACTTTTTTTTTAATTTTCCGATATTTTATTTAGCTTTTTGATTTTTAATATATGTGTGTTTTTAATTTATTAAATAATTGTTTCTGTGAATTTTTCTTTCCATCTTTTCAATTTTTTTTTCAATTTTTTTTCAATTCTCTGAATTTTATTTAATTTTTTGGTATTTCAGTTTGATTTATTTTTTAATTTTCTTAATTTTCTGAAATTTTCTTTTATTTTTCGAAATTTTAATTTAATTTTTAATTTATCTTTTATTATTAATTAAATTTCTGATTTTTATTTTTAAAAATTTTATTGTTTGAAAAAAATCTGAAATTATATGTTTTACCTGTTTAACAAGTCACTTTTTCAAGTTCAATGTTTTTTGTGATACAAATGTCACTTTGAATATTTAAAATGTTAGCAAAAAATGTTCAAAGTTTAAAGTGTTAGTAAGTGTTATCTTCAGAGTTTTTTATGCGTTTTTCCCTTGGAAGAAGTATCTATGCAACGTATAGTACTGTCTGTTAAACAGTACACACATGTTTTTTTTTTTTTTTTGATCAAATCAGTACACACATGTTATAAATAAAAAATCATTAATACAAGTAAGTTCTAATTAAAATCGGTCTAGGCAACATCTAGTCGATAAATCAGATATTTCAAATTGTTTTTTTTCTAGGCTGATTGTGCTAACTGATTTTGAGGTTCTAAGGTTAGCTAATCAGAGAGTAACTACATCCATTGGTACAAAATGGAGTTCTCAATTTGTTAGCAAGTAAAAGTTAAAACCTTGCGAATATATTCATTCATCAAATTGCTAGCAAGGTTTTGCTGTGAAAAGCAATATATGGTATATATATGTAAGAATTTGTATCTGCAAATTCATTATAAACACTTGATACTGCTGATTTCAGGTTTTAACACACGTCAGAAAATACGATTTGCTGAATAGAATTCCAAAGATTTATGATAGTCGCAAAGTTGGGCCCGTTCAAACCCAAAATTTAATTGGGGCAAATGAGGCCTATTCTCAAATATAACAACCGAGGTTTACATGGGCCTTTATATCTGTGGATTGAGATCTCATTGACGGTTATAAAATCCGACGTAGAGCCGAAGGTATCTTTTCAACCCCGGTTTTCATAAAACCGCGATTCAGAAAAATTTCCGGCGGGAGAGCGCGAGAGGAGGTTCGATTCAAATCCACCGTCATGAGTCCAGCAAAAGCGACGGAGATCGAAATCGCAGGTGGAGAAGAGGGAGATAAGTTTGAGGTGGGGAAGATATACGATGTCAAGCTGACGACTGGAATCGAGTTCAAGGGGATCGTCTTGGCGTATGATCCTGATCCACGCTTCGTCATCTTCCATATCCTTTCTATTGTTGAAATAATCACCGTAGTTTCTTCTTTATCTCTTCGACTTGTTGAGAACATCGTTGGAGATCCTTTTAGGTGGTTTTTGCTTCTGCGCTTGAAATTTTTGTTTGTTGCGGTGTCCTTGACGTGGATTTTACAAGAAGGAACGATTCCTGAAACTGGAGATTGGATGAATACACGAATGGTGAATGAGAATTTCATATCGACGCTTACGTATATAGGGAGGTGTAAGGATCCGCTCGCTTCGAAAGAGCGTTGGATTGATCTCTCTGGACTCGAAGAGAAAGAGGCGATCGCTATTAGGTGAGTTAGTTTGTTGCTAAACTCTCTTACGATTGAGTCGAATTCTTCACTTTGTGTTTTGATTTAATTTATTGAGCTTTACGAGATCACGCAGGGAAATCGAGAGCATTGGTGTTACCGCAGAGGCGCAGAAGGTCTTCAACGATTTGTCTAAGATGTAAGGATCTTTTGAATCTTTTTCTTTTGCGGTGGTTTAGGTTAGTTTTTATGTTAAGAAGATAACCATTAAAGATTGATTATGATTTGATTGTTAGCGTTTGTTTCTATTAGCGTTCTGAAGTTGCATTCTGTTTGGGACTATGCTTTTGCTTGCTGTGAAAATGCCTTGAAATCAGCATCATTACCTCTTTTATGATTTAGTCGAATTCTTCACTTTGTGTTTTGATTTAATTAAATCGAGCTTTAAGAGGAAACGTGTACTACACAGGAAAATCGGGAGCATTGGTGTTGGTGATGCAGCAGAGGCGCAGAAGAGCTTTGACGCTTCCTCTAAGACGTAAGGATCTTTTGTTCTTTGAATCTTCTTTTTGTTAGTGTAGATTCTTATGCTGAGCTAATTTTCATGGCATTGCTGAATGCTATAATGTTGAGTAGCGTTTTCAAAGAAGTTAGTTAGCTAGTTTTTGCTACATCGTGAGTTTGATAATTAGTTTCCAGAAAGTTATAGGCTACTTATGTTGTCTACAGTGAGCTTTCTTCGTTTGACAATTAAGATAGTGGTTGAAGTCATTTATCTTATTAGTGGTTGAAATTAACATTTCTCAGTATATTATTATCTTATTTTGCTATTTTTAAATTCAAATAATGTTTGCATGGTGTTGTTGGTTTAGGTACCCTATGGAGCAAGATTTGATTGTGGAGATTCTCCCCTTTCCAGTTATGAGACAAGATATCATTGTAGCTGTCAACATGGGGTTGAAGAAGAAGATTTTTGCCCAAAAGATTTCTCGTGCAAGTAATGGGCAGTCTTCAAACCGGAAGATGAAGAAGATGAGGAAGATGGTCGTTGGAGGAAAGGAGAAAAGGCCAAGAGAGAGGTGGCTGCATATTTGTTGGATTCCCTCAAAGACAGTGAATGAGTTGGATTCGGAGGTGTCCCTCCAACAACAATGGTTCGTTGTATGGACTTCAAAGGGGAAGGAGAGAAAAGATGGACAAAATGATCGTTACAACAATACATTCCAAACCAGAAGTGGTATGTTCATGGTGAGAGGAGTGATGCTATTTTCAGTATCCAAGATTTCCAGAAGATGACACTTCTGGATATCCGATATGGCAACACAGACAGAAACCAAGGCAACATACTTAACAAAAATGGCAAGTTGATTCCTATTGACCATGGAGAGTGCTTTCCCAAACAGGTAATTTCAGATCTTAAATCGTTTTCCATTATCTTTTATTACTTATATTCCTTCTTTTGAAGCTTAGCTTATTTTGTGACAAGTTTTTTTTGGTTATTTTGTGACAAGTTTTGAAGCTTGAATCGTTTTCCATTATCTTGAATCTTGATAGTCGTTTTGTGACAAGTTTTGAAGCTTGAATCGTTTTCCATTATCTTGAATCTTGATAATCGTTTTGTGACAAGTTTTGAAGCTTGATAATCGTTTTCCATTATCTTGGTTATGATAATCTTGGTTATGATAATCTTGATAATCATAACAAGTTTCCATTATCTTTGTTGTGACAAGTTTTGAATCTTGATAATCATAACAAGTTTCCATTATCTTGGTTATGATAATCTTGATAATCATAACCAAGTTTTGAATCATGGTTATGATAATCTTGATAATCATAACAAGTTTCCATTATCTTGGTTGTGACAAGTTTTGAATCTTGATAATCTTGGTTATTTTGTGACAAGTTTTGAAGCTTGATAATTGTTTTCCATTATCTTGAATCTTGATAATAGTTTTCCATTATCTTGAATCGTTTTCCACTATTTTGAAGCTTGAATCGTTTTGTGACAAGGTTTTTTTTGGTTTTTTAGTTTAATTGTTTTTTTTTTAGCTTAATTGTTACAGGCTTGATTGGATTATATGGAAGATGGCAGAGATCCCGTACTTGCCTGAGATGGTTGAGTATGTGAAGACTTTGGACGTGGACAAGGATTTGGAGATTTTGAGAACAAATGGCATAGAATTGGGAGAGAGAGCTATGTCTGCCTTCAGAGTTCAACACCTGGTGTTGAACCTAGGTGTTTTAGGGGGTAATGTCCCTAGAGACATTGGACGCCTGTTTAGTGAGAGTCTCTTTACACTCGTTCACAGCTGCACTAACCCCGCTGACGTAATAGACTCTTTAAAAGGATTTTTGCAGTCGACTAGAGAGTAAGAAAATGAAGAATCATCATTACTATTATATTATAATTTTTATTGATTTGTTGTTCTTTTTACAGCATAAGGACTGAACGAGAGTCGATGATTCAGAGAGAGATGTCGATGCTTAGCAGAGAAGAGAAAAAAACAGAGACCAAACCTCGAGAAAGCAGATTCAGTCGAACACTTCGACTGAACAAGGTTGATGGGAGTAAGGAAGAGGCGATTGCTACTAGGTGATTTTTAGTTTGTTGCAAAACTCTTTTATGATTGAGTCTAATTCTTCATCACTTGTGTGTTTGATTTGATTAATTGAGGTTTACGAGGAAACATGTACTACGCAGGGAAATCAAGAGCATTGGTGTTGGTGTTACTGCAGAGGCGCAGAAGATCTTCGATGCTTTCTCTAAGACGTAAGGATCTTTTGCTTCTTCTTCGGATCATTGTGTGTGTGTGAGATTTAGGTTATTTTCTTATGTTAAGAAGATGACATTAAAGATTGACTTTGTTTACCCAGGCTTCATGTACAGTGGGTAAACAAAGACATTCTGGTATGGGGACAAGTGCGTATCTGTAGCCCTTACCATGATGATTGTGTCACTGGAGGAACTACTACTGCCAGGGAACAAGTAAAGGCTGTGGTAAGTCTCAATACCAAAGTTTTAAATGTACTTTCTTGCATTTCACTTTAGGATGATATTAATAAAGTTTTGTGTCACAGCTGAAGCAGGTGAGACAGAAGTTGCAACTTGGCACTGGAGGCAATTGAAGTAGGATAAAAGCCGCTACTTTCCAGAGAAATACTACTTGTTGGTACCTTGTGTAAATTTGCTGATTCATGATCGCAGAGTTTACTTGGGTGTTGGAAAAAAAACACAGAGTGTGTTAAAGTTTTCTTCTGTATAGCAAATTTGTATATCCAAAACAATGCATGTATAGAGGCATACCTACTCGCTACTACTGAAAGGTCAACGTTTTTACATAGTCTTATGTTACAATGAATTTGAAAGCTGCTGATGGACCGAGTATTGACATTATTGTTAGTTTAGATGTTGAATGGTGTTTCGTGTTAAAACTCTTCAATTTCAATGGAAATAAAAGTGACAAACAAGTTAAGGACCTGCAAAAATACACTCTGTATGGAAGATTTTTAAAACTCTTATCAGATGTGTCCATTCTGCATCCAAGGCTTTGCATCTAACTCCCTCTAGCACCAGGAGATAAGCTCAAGTCCCACAAATCCCTTTGTCTCTTGTCTTCCTTTGGTAGGTCCAAGGCATTTCTCCTCGTATTACAGCTCTCTGTGACCGTTGAAACCCACATCTATAGACGCTTCACACATTACTGTACGTACCTGTGAAATGTCTCAAACTCTGGAAATCTCGGAAAAGAACAAACAATTGCTTGAAGAAGATGAAGTGGTCATCTTACCTGACGTAGACAACTCTGAGCTGATAGCTCGCTACAACCTTAGTTTGGTCGGTAGGATTTTCAACAGAGAGACGCAATGGAATGATCTTTTAATGGAATGATCATTTGTTCTCATACAACGCGTGAAAAATTCAGGCAATGCCAATGGAGTTGAAGTAGTGTTTGCGTAACTAAAAAAATGTAAACGACCTTTGTAATGGAATGATCATTTGTTCTCTATACCTTTGAAATTAGATTTATTTATGCGGATATTTGTTCGTCGTAATTATATGCGTTTCACCAATAAAATTTTTTATGTTACTAATTTATAGGCTATTGAGTTTGTGTGGGTATTTTTTCTTCGTAATTATATGCTTTTCACCTATAAAAAAGTTATGTTATTGATTCATTGGTTATTGAGTTTTAACATTGGTGTATTTTGTTCAGTTTGTTTAGCATCCATTTATAGACTATGTTGTAAATTGTTAATTTTATTGTACTTTTATTCATTTTACATCTATACTATTATTTGCGAAGTGATTTTTCGCAATGGAGCTTCCACGTTAAAAGTTAGAGCGGTTAATATCTATTTTACCCTTAATGAATTTTATATATAATTAAAAACGAATTTATAATAATAATATTAGATTTATATGTTATATTAGATTATTGATTATAAATCAATATGATAATTGTCAAAATAAATACACATTA